TCCACTGTTTTCCCATTTCAGATCATTTTATAGTGTATCGGCTGTGCATGAGATGGCACATGAATATGGATACAACTTAAACAAAGAATGTTATTCTCGAAAGAATGACATGTGGTCTAAAAAAGACAAAACATTAAGCAAGCCCAAGTGGATTTGGTCCAAGCAGATATCGACGCCCAACAATGCATTTCGTTAAGGTCAAGTGTGTAAAAATACCATTATTTCTTAGTCCAACATAGACATTTAAAGTCCCTATGGCACCTTATTCAATATCTTCAGCATTGATTCTAAATGAAGTGAAAAGTTGAATGGTAAATTATTTCTATATGGTTTGAGTAATGCATCTTAGAGATATCGAGGGTTAGACTTCCAATATGTTAATGACGTGACGTCAAAGGAGGCATTTCAGTTTATCTGCCATCACATGGAAATCGAAACACAGATTACTATGATTTTTTTTTTGCTAGAACCTTTCTTTAAATCCTAAGTAAGACAATGATGTTTTATACAAGACATTTTACTGTCCCAGAAAAGTTTTGTATATTTAATGATGTCTCCTTTGACGTCACATCATTAACATATTGGAAGTATAAACCTTGATATCTCCAAGATGTACACTCAAACCATATAAAAATAGATTACTATTCAACTTACATCATTTACAAACATTGCTGAAATCTTTGAGTTAGGTGTCATAGGTACTTTAATGAAAATCGGCTTCTAATATAACTTACAGCAAGGTCCATTGTGTACAAGTTTAACATCATCACTTCCAGCGCAGCTTTCGGCCTTCATTTTGCATTCGTTGTCGTAAGTTTTGCCATCAGACCCACATACAGGTTTCCTCACAGAAGGGCAACTGTTTTTGGCGGGGCATTCACAGACGGTTGATCCATCTTGCCTTTTGATGCAGTTGGCATTGTACTTGCAGTTAGCAGCCACACATGGATCTGTTGGACAATGAATTACAAAGGTATGGAATTTTAAGACAAAAACAAAACTGAAAAACCTAATGTTGACTAATGACGACTCCAAGGGACTTGGTGACCTGGTATATTTTATCTCGTCTAGGAGTCTGGGATCAAAAAATACTACCCATTCCTGCACTCCAAACTTTCTTATCTAGTTAACTGACTTATCCCTTCCCTCTTATACATAACGAATGATAAGAACAAATTGCACATACCAAAAGATCCATTTATCGGCTACCTCCCATTTTCCCCTTTTTTACATAACGAATAAAAAGATAACGAAGTTTCCATACCAAAAGATTCCGTTTTGGGCTACCTCCCATCTTTTCCCTCTTAATGAATCCTAAGATAAGAACAAAGTGTACATACCACAAGATCCCTTCTTGGTTACAGTTATAGGTGATCCAGTTTTACAGGCATCGACTCTCAAGCGACACTCGCTGACGTATGTTTTGCCATTAGAACCACAAACAGGTTTGAAATCACGCGCGCAGTCTTTATATGAAGGACACTTGCACTCCGCGCGGCTTGTCACGCCTTCCTGTATCGTCACGCAATGTCTACCACCAGTACACAAAATACTTGAACAAGGACCTAGAGATTAAGAGGATGATTAGACAAAGTAGTCATAATTCTCTTCGGTGTCTTTTTTCCTCAAACTATCTTTTCTTAGTGTTCTTAGTGTTCTATCTTAGTGTTTTTGCGTGTATTTATTGAATTAGCATTGTCCAATGATTGGGGTGCAACAACAGGACTCAAAATCCCTTGAGATATAAATAACAATGAAACAGCCGCCATCTTGGTTGATCTAACAAGAGAAGCTAATGAAGAATGCTTTTTTGTCTTGTCAACTAACATGGTTGCTATGACGTAACATGTACCTCAAGAATCYGTAAAATACCCCTGTTTTCCTTAATCATAGATTAATTTCTCAGGGTGAGCCATATTTCAACGTAAAATATTGATAATAAATACTAGCGGTAAAGTAAAGAATGCACAACTTCCACAATACAAACACTTCAAAATTTCACCGACCTTTACCTAAACACATGAATATTCTACACAAAATCGAGGCTAACCTTGAGTAACAGAAAACTGGAAACTGGAGTATTACGCTGAAATATGAATTTTCGCTGCAGCCAGTCAAAATCAGTAAATCAACGATTAGTTTTGATTGACGGCAGCGAAAAATCAAATTTCAGCGTGCAGCTCGCTGCTAGTGAGTTCGTATGTTTATGAAAATAGTAGTAACAACGTTCTGTATATAAACTACAAAACTCGTGACTTACCACACTGGCCCTGGTGCTTAACGCGGATGTTCTGCTTCATTGCGCATGCGTAAGCCTTCATCATGCACTCATTGAGATGGGTTTGGTCATCAGTGCCACAGACAGGATTATTTTCTTGTAAACAGTCAGATCTCTTTGGACATTGACAGATTGATGGACCATTTAATTGTCCTATGCATGTAGCGTAATAGTCGCACTGGTTGRGTCGACAGGCTCCTAAAAAGACATTATCATTTATTAGGACATGCGGGTCTTTTTTGGTGTTTGTTTGCTTTACAAATGCTTTTTGTTACCATTTCATACAATGTGGTTTTCAAATGGGTAATAAATCAACATACACATGTAAAATAAATGGAATATTTGCTCACGAATAGGATTTTTATACTTCTCCCCCTGTTTGCATTTTATTATGATAGCATCCTGATTGGGATTCCTGTGGCTTGGTATAAGGCTCATTATATTGATCAACCCCCCTCCCCCTCTGGGGGATCTTGTTGTACATGTGACACTTGGTAGCTTTGCCACTCGCTTGGGATATCCAACTTAACTTATAAATAAACAAATATACATTTGCTGATTCCGTCCAGTATATACATATATATAGCGGGAAAAAAGGGACTTAAAAGTTTCAATGGATTATATATAGGGAGAGAGGCTTGATAGCATAAACGTCGCTTGCCCCAGTTGGTCTTTACGGAAGGCAGGGAATTATAGGAAAGTGAGAAAGCCAAGAAGGAAGATTGAAGATGATCAAAAGAAACGGTTAAAACAAGAAAAAGAAAACATACCGCACGGTCCCTTGTGTACAACGCTTATCTTCATATTTGTCATACACGATTCAGCATCCATTGTGCATTTGCTTTGATATGTCTCTCCATCATCGCCGCATACAACGTCGTTGTCGTCACCAGCAGGGCAGTCGCTTTCTCTGCCACATTCACACGTGACTGTTCCATCGAAATTGGAGAGGCACTGGGCTCCATAACGACATGTATCAGTTAGAGCGCATGCTCCTGGTTATATAAGAACAGTAATTATAAGCATGTTTTGCTCCGCATTCATGTCTGTCTGTCTGTCTGTCTATTCTTCTACCTGCCAGCATGTCTGTCTGTCTGTCTTTCTGTCTGTCTACTTCAGGTAATTACCCTGTCTCACTACGTGTTTTATCACATCCACTACTTTACATTTACCCACTTACCACAATATCCTTTGTGTTTTTCTGTGATCGGCAAACCTTTCACACAAGCTCTGTTCTTCATCACACACAAGTTAATGTACGAAACGCCATCACTACCGCATACTACATCAACGGTCAGCGGACAATCTCTTTCAGACTGACATGCGCACTTTGGTTTACCGTTTTCTCCAACTGTACACTGCTTGTTGTCTGGGCATTGGGCTTTCCAGCAAGGGTCTTCGAAACAAAAATAAGCATCCCAGTAAACCAATGACGTCTATTCACATGCACAAGGACAATGTAAAATGTCCGTTAGGATACCGATAATGCCGTTTTAGTATAACTTTAGACTTGGATATAGAGTTTCTCGAGTTGTGATTAGTCGAGCGACCGGTGATTCTCAGACGATAATCACCGCTGGAGCGTTGTTTATGAGGATTTCCAAAGTTTTCCAGATCGGAAGAAATACTAAAACGTCTTTTATCCTGAATTTCGACTTTTCTCTAATATTCAAATCTAAAATTATACAAAACAATTATTTCCCTAAGGCACAGTGATTATCGATGGAATATTTATCTCGCAGCTCGAAGACTGGCAGCTCGGTAAATATGGCACTGATAATAACTTCGCCTTCGACAAATAATTGTTAAGTAAGGTGACATCTTACCGCACTCTCCTATCCTAACAACGGTGACGCCATTATCCTTGTTACATGCGTCAACGGCCAAGTGACAGCTAGTGATGTACGTATTACCGTCACTTCCACATACGGGGTCTAGACTTGCTGGACATTCTCTGACGTCAGTGCACACACATTTTGGCAATCCATTGACCATCTCACATCGAGAATTGTTCTTGCATTTAGTTGTTGCACAAGCATCTAGAAAGTGATTGAAATGAAATGCATATCATTGCATACATGGCACTCAAAAGTCATCAAATCTCCTTTGRCAAGTATTTTTTTATCCACACGCCCAATGTAGAAATCAGCTTTAGTTGACATGGCAAGCGTGTTTAATGAAGTTATACCTACTTATTTAAGTCAAAACTCGTATTCGATCATTGCACATTCTTATATCTGTAAGTTACAGGCATGCCCTGATTTTGATCAGCCCTGAGGTTTTTAAGGGTTGATCTGAGAGTAAGCCGTCGCCTGACTTTGATCAGCCCTGAGGTGGTTTTAGGCTCAACGAAAATGTGTGTAATTACTTACCACATTGACCCAGGTTGGCAACACTAACGTCTTTCTTGTTGAGACAAGAAGTCACTCTGAGCTCACAGTCTGTCTGGTAGTTAACGCCATCAGTTCCACACACATATGAAGGTGTTCGAGGACAGTCGTTAATGTTTGGACAGACACARCTCGTGCTGCCATCTGATGACGGTACGCATATTGCGTTGTTTTTACAATCAACCTTGAAACATGGATCTGGGGGGAAAGACAAGGAATAAAAAATAAAGGGAGGAATGAGAGGATGGAAAGCCGAAAAAGGGAGAGAATCAATGAATCGATGAATGGACGAAGAAATAGTGAATGGATGGATAGATGGATAGATGAATGGATGGATGGATGGATAGATGGATGGATGGATGGATGGGTGGATGGATGGATGGATGGATGGATGGATAGACAGAATACAGGAAGGGAAAGGATCAATAGACGTACGCAATGATTGAAGGGACAATGGAGGAAGAGAGAGAGAAAGAGAGATACATTGAAAATTTTACCCTTGCATGTCTCCTTAGCCAGCTTGATGCTCAACATGGGTAACTCATCAAAGCTATTAATCTTATAAGCATTGCTTCTTGTGCTTGCTATCTGTTCTAATTTATCCATCGGCGAGTCCCTTCCAACACCAACAACCAAAACCTTGATGCTATCTGCTCTCAAAGCATCAGCAGTTGGCTTAACATCCTCCTTGATAGGTCCTTTAATAATGGCTACTACTGTACGGGGTATTCCCCGGCGCCCACCTGATCCTTGACCTAAGGCACTATAAGCTGCTGATAGAGTTCTACTTATCCGAGTGTTAGTTACAGGCAAGCGGTCTTGTCGCAGGTCTTCTATTTGTTGGTTAAGTGAATCTGTCTCTGCGTAGTCAGTAAGCCCAAAGTATGTGGTTGGGCCTGCGCTGTGCTGGAATGCCGCTACCCGTGTGAGATTAGAAGAAATTTTGAACGTGTTGATCATCATCTGGACCAGTTCTCTCTCTTTCTCAAACTCCGAGGAGGAGACTAAGTTTGAGCTGTCGACGGCAAAGACCACATCCATGGGTATTGGACAGCCTGTAAAGCACACAAACACAATTTGAATAATAACTATAAAGCACCAGATAAAACCTTACTTGGTTTCCATTTCGCAAATCACCGTTGTATCCTTCAAATGCATATTCGAATTCCAGTGTGGAAAAAAATCACTCTCATCAACTATAATGAAATGCCCCAGCACGTTTTCCAAGAATTCAAGAACGTTTTAGTAAGAAAGAAAATGGCAACAAAGAAACAAAACAAAAGCGCAGCCGAGAAAAACATACAAAAAATGCAGAAAAACAAATACAGTGAAATCATTAGTTAAAAAGCAAGATAATTGCGCGGTGCCAAAATATTTCCCCCACATTTACTTTAAAAGAAACATTTTTTTTCAGTGGATATCCTTTACTAAGTGTACATCATGCAAGGTCTCAAAGTTATCTTCTTTATTGAGGTATCACTGTATTACTTTAGGAACGCTGTTAGCGTTACGAGTGTGAAACTGTTTCCGGTAGCATGGCACTCTATTGAAAACAAAAACTCTATTAATGAACATGCTCACGTGCCTAACGTTTACAGAGCTTCGACTGATAAGAAAAAGCTTTTGGGACACCATTTTGCAAAATCGATGTTGCTGATCAAGGCTTCAGTTACGAAGCCGAAACATCCGTATTTTAAAGATCTTTAAGTTAGAGACACTTTTATTTATTTTATTCACGAAAACCCATCTTTACCTGCAGGCATTGTACACATTGGTTCCACAGCAATCAATCCTCCTTTTGGCCTACACCGTGCACAATAACCACCACATTTAGCAGATACAATCAGATTGTTATCTGTTCTATTGAAGTCTTGGATCTGAAAGCTTTTGGGGAATCCTTGGTGAATCCATTCTACAGTGTCTTTAAGATGCAATCGCGTCCCAGTCAAATCAATCTGTTGTTCGTGAGAAAAGGAAGTTTACAATCGGAAAAATTATTTGATTATATAGTCAACTCTTGTTATAGCGTAAACCCTGAGGACCGTCGCTTGGTGTCCGTAATGAGAAGCGACCGCGTGATTTCTTYGTCGCTTCATTGCTCTTGTTCTCAATATCGGGGTGTCCGTAAGGCGGGAGTTGACTGCATTCAACATCACTCCTCTACATAACATCAACCCTGAAGGGAGAGCATAGAGGGTTTTGGCAGTGTCAACCCCTTCCACTTTTAGTCTTATGCGTACTAGAGGCTAGTCTGTTACGTTTTTTCAATCTAACCTTCCTCCCACTTTATAGGGTGCGCGACCGTAAATAGAGAGTTTTAGATTTACGTTCACGGCAAACGTGAAACGTCAGTTGACCATTTAAAAATTATTCTAAATAGCTTAAAAAGAATCGCAAAAAAGTCCAAGTAGTAGAAAAACAAAAGATATTTGTCTTTGGTGAGAAGGTTTGTAAAAGGTAAAGTAAAGTACAGGAAAACGATGAAAACGTGGTCACGTTTGCCGTTTGCGGGGAGAAAAAAAGTCAATCTGAAACTCTCTATTGCCCGGGTTTTAACCCGGAGGAGTCCATTGGAGTCGCAACTGTATGTTTCCAGATATGACACAAAAAAATATCGATTCCCAAAGGCCTAATTTTCAAAAAAATCTATTAGGTTTTTGGCTTAGAAATAGAATATCATATCAAAACGACTAACACATATTTTTGGTTGCTTTTCTGAAATTAATTACTACGATTCTCTTCCCTGCATTTTTTAAAAAACTGTTTCCCCGATTCGCCAGCCCATGCTAATCCTACATTTACTATCTATACCATAGCGATTTCTGAATAACAAACCATAGTTGAGTCATACCTTAAAGCTGCCCTTGCGACAATCAGCCTGAACTGAATAACAATCGCCTGCTGTACCGTATGGGATGTTATTACCTCCCAGTTTCGAGATAGCGAATTTAAAGTCATTCTCAACCAAAGCTAAAGGCTTGCGTTGAAGTCGAACCTTCTCGAACGATGTAGAGCCGCTTTCGGCATACAATTGCGACATCTCTTCTCCGTTGCATTGGTATCGTTGTCGGAGCCTCTTGTCGTAGATGATGGCATAGTTGTTTGTTCGCCCTGCTGGTAAAGTGATGTATTCTGTTGGGGTTCCTGTGGTCATGCTGTCACAGTACACACGGATGGGATCCAGGCAATTCTCGCTGATGTGAATCAAGTAGTGTCCGTCTGTGTAGCCAGCGGTCTTCACTTCAGAGCAGTCACGGAATTCTGAAATGCGATTATATGATATATTACGGTCTTTGCAATAGACCTTTTCAGAGATAGCGAAAATGGTGCATTGTGGTCTAGATCTTTTGATCATCATTCAATACACACTTTATGCTTGTACTGAAGTTAAACAGCAATGGATCATGCTATAGAACTCTGAAAAGGTCTGTGATGTAAGTTTAACAAACTGAGTTCCATTTTTTTATTTGTCTGTCGTCTTGACGAAAAATTGCGTCATCAAATTGAGAATGTAGTGTGGATCCACGAGGGGTAGCCGCCAACATGACCGCTATGATATCAATTGCCTCCACGAATTAATAAAACATATGACAACAAACCTTGTGCGATAATTAAAGGAATACGTTTTGCTTCTTTGGTTTCCTGTCCTGGTGCTGGAACAACAGCCAGATCGTCCCCAGAAGCAATGGCCTTGATCTTATTGCGTGACGGACTTCCCAGTCCAATCGGCACCACTTTGACACCAATGTCACGCAATTTCTGGATCTCTTGTTTAACTTGGGGCGACGCCTCATCAAAGTCACCTATAGTCATCACCACTAAGACGTCTTTGACAAATGGACGATTGCCGTTAGATCTCCTTAAAAGATCTTCACGGGCCTGTTAGAAAAGGACAGACAGAGAACGATATTTTCTTTTTTTCTTATTAAGACTAAAAGCTCGAGAAACCGGTCTTGGTCCTCGAGTTTCTTGTGCGCTTATCGTTGTATATTTTCGGAAACCAAAGTTTAATATGGGTCCCATGTTCCATGCTTTAATCTTACCCAAACTCTGTGCAATCCGTAAGCCAGCTCCCTTTGCTCCGGGGTACCATTTCCCTTATCTCGAGTCCCGTGTCCAACAGTTACTCCTTACCTTACGCAATCCATCCGCCAGTTGCCCTCGGTCGCGGGTCCCAATTGTTGCCAGTCTAGTCAAGAAACTAGTCTTATCGTAGTTATCCCTGAACAATATATGTGTAGTTGCCGGGCCGTTGTAGTCTACCAATCCCAAGCGAGTATCAGTGGGCGAGATAACGTACTGGTTGATGATAGTCCTGATCATGTCTCTCATGGTGGAGAAGTAATTATCAGCATTCGCTCCCGACACACCCAAAACGAACCCGAGATCCAAAGTTCTTCCTGTGGTGAAAAAAATGACTGTCAATATTTTTAAAGATTTTAAAATTTGTAAAATATTTTGAATGTTAAATGTTTTAAACATGTGAAAAGTTTGTAATATTGGTCCTTTTAACGCATACACCTAAATTGAAAGAAAACTGTAATGCTGCTCTGCCCTGCCCAGGTCGCTGCTCTGACTCCCGTGTAAGGATCAAACAAAGCTGGAAATGAAAAAAACGAAAATCGATTCCCCTTGGAACTTTGTGTAATTAGCCCACCCAGAGGTGCAAGAAAACGCCCCATGTTGGGGTAATCAAACGCATTTCTGTTATCTACTCTATTTTTATTGATCTTTACCCCGAGACCACTGAAAGCCTACGATTTTTCGCAGCACCGTGGTATTCGCCAACTTTCACGTGAGTAGGCGGAGATCATAGCTAAAACCCTAGTACGGCTATAGTAGGGTTAACAAATTGCCGTATCGTTTACCACTCATGCGAAACCGCCTAAGAGCTAATATTAACATTGCGTTGGTTTTTATCTATGKTGCCCTTTTTTAGGGGGTATAGAGTGCAAACCTGCATCCAGTTTAGTGAAGGTACTTACGGCAGAATCCTTTGTGCTTGACAGCAATTTGTTTTCGAATCTGACATGATTTGACTTTAAGGACACATTCATTAGCGTAAGATACACCATCATTACCGCATACTGGATCACCATTGGTTGGGCATGTTGTATCACACTGACATGAGATCGAGTCATTGGCCAATGGGACGCACACAGCGTTAAATGGGCACTTCACGTTCTTACAGGGATCTATGATTATAAAAAGAATTAAAAAGAATTAATACATAATTTATAGCTTTTTGGAGAAAACATATCAAGCTTTACTCTATATGTTAGTGTCGAAGTTGGAGTTGAGAAAGCTCACTTCATATATGGTATAATCAATTCCATATTTGGATTGTGCGGAAAAGCGGCAAACAAAAAGGCCGTCGTTTTATAACGAATTCGACATGAACATTTTTGAAGAAGAAAAGAGAAGAAAAAAAAGACAAGTAAAAAAAGAAAAWTTTTGTAAAATCGAGGAAGGATACGGGGACGATGCTAACTCGTGTGTCTGCCTCGCAGACAACAGACACAGTCAAATACGACTCTCAATGATTGACGTGTGACGGAGACACCATCGAAAGTGTTTTGATTTGTTTGTTTTTCATCACAAACTCTTCTGAATGAGTCCCGAAACCATTTTTTACATCAGCCCAATTATCTTTTCACATTTGGCCTCACTCTTAGGCCAATATCCTCTTATCTAACATAGTGATCAGCCAATCAGCACATGAGTTGGAAATTTCACAATTACTGTAAAATCACTCAATGAGATTCATATTGAGCATGTCCATTAAGTACATAATCCATAGTGAATCAGTTGAAAAAATAAGGAAGTGTTTAGGCACTATTTCTGCAAGCTAACCATATAATCGTTATCTGTGGAAAATAACAAAAAAAACTYGTCTCTAGAACTTCACTGACCTACCTGCTTGACAAAGGCAAACGAATGTCTAGCTARGAGAGCTAAGCAAACGGTTTTAATCATTAAAGATTATTAGGGTTATAAATAAGTTAAATACTCACTACATCGTCCCATTTTTATTATGGTTATGTTCAGCTTCGAAAGGCACGACTCTCTATGAAGAGTGCATTTATTAAGATAATCCTTGTTATTGCTAGCGCAGACCGGTTTGTAACGAAGGTGACAAGTTCTATCACACGCGCAATAGGTAGAGCCATCCGGTCGGGAACGACATCGTCCAAAGAAAGGACAGGACACCCGTGAACAAGGATTTATTGCTAAGAATTGAGAGAAGGTTAAAGGGAGAATAGAATGTTAGAATAGATAGAGAAGGGGAGGCAAGGAATAGCTAGACATGCAACGTAAGAGGCGTAAAAAATAGAGACAGTCAATAAACAGAACAGAAAGCCGGACACTGAGACAGACAGACAGACAGACGAGGATACAGGCACACAGACAGGAACGATGTAGACAGGCAAACAGACAAACAGACGGACATGCAGATGACCATGCAGGCAGGCAGACAGACGACATACAAACATATAGAGATAAAGATAAAACAGACAGACAGACAGACAGAAAGACAGATATAGAACTATTAAGGCAGACAGACAGACAGATAGAGAACTATTAGAGCACCTTGAACGAAAAGTAGGAAAATATTAAAGACCAACTTACAACAGAAACCATTCCGCCTGACACTAATATCCAGTCTGAGAGTACGAGATTCTCTTATTAGTTGACATTTATTCCAGTAAGTCTTTCCATTACTACCACAAACAGGGCGTAGGGAGAGTGGGCACGAACGAGAGCAATTGTAGTACGCAGGTCCTTCATGGGACATACCATTAAGTTAAAGAAAAAAATTAATAGAAAACGATTAGTTCATGAATACAGAAAGTGAAGATTAAGGAAAATGGGCAAGATTATAAGAGAAGTAGATCAATCAAGTCACGCAAGTTATTATGGGGATGGATTTAGTAACATATGATTCTGACCATTTTTGTCCCTCAACCAAGTCCAAGACTATTTGGGTGAAACACTTAGCTAGTTGCATCTACTATATAAAATGTTGTCAGTTCTCAATTTCGTTTGGTTAACAAAAGTTTTGAATTAATGGAGACATGTGCTAGCAATGACGTCATATGCCAAATAAATAAAAAAATTTTAAGACGTCACGTTTTCGTGACAACATACCGATGAGAACTTTAGCCATGATCTTGGTAGCTGTATCCTTATGGTTTGTTACTTGAGGTTTGTCAATCAGGTTGTTGGGATCTGGAGTCAACTTGATGAGCTGGTTCTTATCCGGGGTTGTTCCTATAGCAACAGGAATAACCTTTATTCCTTCCTGCTCCAATGTCTTAGCAGCCCTTATGACGATGTCCATGTTCTCAGACGAGGATCTGTCTACAGTTATCACCAGCACCTTGCGTACCAACGGCTTGGAATACATTCTGAACATATTTGATGCCTCATCCAAAGCTTTCTTGATATTTGGACGCCCGATTGAGCGAGGAAGCACAGAAATATAGTCAATAAGCTTTTTCAGGCTACCAAAGTCATCGTCGAACTTGATCTTTGGATTCGGCAGATCTGAGAATTCAATAAAGCCGTAGCGTATCCTGTTCTGCTGGTACTTCTCGATGATGTCTTTGATGGCATCCCTCAGGTGGTTGTAGATCACCTCACCTTGTGCTCCAGTGGCGGAGATTGCAAACGCCAAATCCGTGTACCTTGAGATCAAAACTGAAGGAAAAGGGAAAGGGAAAAGGAAAAGGGATAAAATTATAAACCGAATGCAAAAATGACCGCGTTGCATTTTTTTTGTTTTTTTGTATAAAATAGTTTTAAAAACAGTAATAAACACTGTTCTCCAAAATAACATACGAATAAAAGTACATTTTGAAAGTTAGAGCTTTGTACCAATAAACCAGAAGAAAAACCCTCGAATAGAGGGAGACACCCTACAAAAACCTACTCACGTGTGATGCCGAGTCCAGGGGTGCTTACCATGGAAACCAATCCAAGTCCGTTTGGAAATTCATTCGCTAATGGTAAGAACGGAGCGGAAAACTTTGACTTTTGAAAAATGGTACATGCGTCTACCGAAAGAACCGAAATGAGCGGGAAAAGTGGATTACCTCAATCGGGACACCGAGTCTGGCACTTTCCGGTTGGAATGATACATACCCTTTGATTTCCAACCAGAATTTCCGGTTTTCCGGGTAAATGGTAAGCACCAGAGGAATCGAGCACGAGACCCTGAAGTGAGAAGCGAGTGGACTACCGCTACGCTATCCTCGATTCCCGATGTAACATACTGGCGTTGATATATACTTACGTTCTGATTGTTTGCACAGTTGTCTTGATAAAGAAGGTGCAAAGTTCAAAAGATCTTGGTAGGAGTTCAAGCTGTTGTAGAAGTTCTCTTGCGATGCTGCTCTGCTAAGCTGTGATCTACTCACCCTTGAACCAATACCAACAGCAAATACCTTGTAGCTCTTTTCCTTCAGGGCTCTGGTGGTTAGTACAACAGCTGGTGTGGATGAATCGTCTCTATCAGCAACCACGACAATCGCCTGCGAATAAAAATGAGTCAGAAATGTCAGTAAGTATAAAGCATTATGTACGGGGTACTATGCACTTTGATTTGATATCACGGTAGTTACGTGGCAATAACTTTTGTATTATTATCTTGCGACTACCAAAAGAGTTAAAAACAGTGTAACATTTAAACAATATTATTGGCTTATTCAAAACTGCATTTGGGATTTCATGAAAAAATTGATTTTTCTTTTAGTTATAGAGGCCTCGCTGAAAACCACATTTGTGATGGGCGCATCCTTCGGAAAGATTATTTATTTTTGATTTATTATTATAAAAAATAAAGTAAAAATGTTTTGAACTAAGATTCTGGTGGTTGTGTTAACGAGACGTTATTATGTAATTATGGGAGCAGAGAATTCTTTACCTTGACGTCATCTCTTTTGTTTTTGGTCAAGATTTCGTCAGCTTTCTTCAATCCTTCGCTGTACTGACTCCCTCGTCCCTTTTCTGTGATTCTGTCGATCATARACTTCGTGTCCTCTTTGCTTAACTTTCCATCAAAGTCCATGCTCACGGACGCGCTGTTGTCGTAATATACTATAGCGAGTTGAAGGTTGTCTTCTCCAACTTCAAATTCATCAACCAAGGCTTTCATGAATTGCTTCTTTAGGTTGAAACTTCCACTTCCGACAACGAAGACTAGCGAAAGGGAATGATTACAGGCTGAAAACAAATAAAAACAAGGCAATAAATCCATTAGTGACTGAGAAGAAGTCCGGCAACAAATCACTACAGCTACGGCTTGTGCTTCTCCTTACACTTCTATCGTGCTTACGCCACTTCCTGCGTGCTTTATTACTGAACGGAGCACGGAAAATGCTGTTTTATTTGTTAAATAAATCATACTATGTGGTCAGTTGAAATGGTACAAAATCCCATATTATCACCATTGTAAACAATGTTTAAGATGAGAATTGTTAATGATAACACAATTTCGTTGTTGCTTATGACCTTGCAAGCGAAATCTGTACCGTGTGTCTGGACCTTAGAAAAAAGTAACTGAAAAGAATACACTACCTGCGCATGCACCATTCTTGACGAAACCAATATCAGTTTTTGCGTTACAGGATTGTACCATTCTGGTGCAGTTGTTAGTGTAGGTGACTTTGTTGCTTCCACAGACGGGTTTATAATCTGCAGTGCATCCCGATGGGCAAACACACGATACTGTGTTATCTGGTGCCTTGACGCATCGCGAGTAGAACTTACATACTGTCTTGAGGCAAGGGTCTTTAAGAGCTATATGTGGAGTATAAAACGAGGAAAATGTAAATCAAGAATGTAATTAAGAAATAGGAAAACAAACAACCAAGACAACAACACAACAACAACAACAAAATAACAACAACGACAACAACAACAACAAAACAACAACGAACAGGAAAAAAAATGAAAAATAAGGAAACAAACGCCTGTGAGGTAGCATCATGGGGCAGTATTTTAATCACCAAAATCCACTTCGAAACATGTTGTATAAATATTTTCTTACTCTTCTCTTTATAAGCCAGTAAATTCAATCATTTATACAGTGAACTCTCGCCTTGCGGACACCCCGATATTACGGACACCTTGCTATTACGGACAGGAGAAAAATCCCCGACAAAAAGATTGACAAAGAAATGACCGTAATTAATTCTCGCTATTACGGACGCTCGGTATTACGGACACTCATCCTAACCTATCAGGCTAACGTTAGAAATATAATTTACAAGAAAAAAACTAGTGAAAAAAAATTACCAAGTTTCGACGACATCTTATCATCATTATCAAGTAAAGTAAAAATAAATAAAATAATTATCATCAACGACAATAATAAAACAACATCATCACATTACTAATTAACACCATAAAATAAATGTATTTTCATCCTCAATAACATTCTGACCATATATAACAGCAATAATGAACATTTTACAAACAGCAGCAAAAACAACAACAGCAACAAGAACTGACCTTTATTTATTGCGTCCATAATTATCTTTCCAAGTCTGTCGGGCTTCTCTCGGTTCGAAGTCGTTACAACATTGTTCTTATTTTTATCAGAAGCAATCAATACAACCTCGGTGGAGTCTATTTCATTTCCGAATATAACCGGCACAATCTTGATCTTTTCTGTTTCGTATCTCTCGACAATTCGTCGGATATCATCAGAACTCACCGACCTTTTATCGATTAGTACGACAACGACTTTACGAGCACCATCGCGATGGCCATTCGAGGTTGAAAACATTTCCATTGATTTCGAGAGAGCTTTTTCGAGGTCTGGTTCACCGAAGGATCGGGAGAATGTACTAAGCAATGTCTTCAGCTCATTTTTATTGCTGAATTGGTTTTTGAGTAATAAGCGCACATCCGGTTGATTGCCGAAGGTAACAATGCTGTACGATAACTTCTTGATGCCATATTCTTGTATTATTGATTGGATAGTTGATATCATTGCATTGTAGTTGTTCCGAGAGTCTGTTGCAGCTGCACCYAGTGAAAAGACAACGTCGAGGGTAGGAATGCGATGTACATCTGACAAAAAAGGAAATGGCGAGTCATCAAGAGAAGAGAAAAAAGAGAAAAGAAAGTAGATAAGAGGAAAATGAGAGGATAGGGAAATAAATAAAAGTGAAGAAAATGAAAGAATCTGATTGTTTTGTTTCCTTGAACGAAATCATCTTCAAACTATTACTTTTTCTTAACCCTGGGTTGTTTTTCTTAACACTTTGGGTTGTTTTTCTTCTTCTACACCTTCCAGTAAATAGACAGAAGTTGTAAATATAATGGCTATAAAATGCTATCTGGAAAATTTAAAAAAAACTTTTTCTACACTCTATCACTTTATGTTATTAAAAATTCAGTTTTATATCCTAGCTAAATGAGCTTATTATTTTCCTTATCCTTTCAGTCCAAAGTTTAAGCGCAAGAATATCTTACCACTAGTAACATTCTTCATAATCGTATTTGCCATCTTCTTGGGATGTTCGTCTCCATTGAACACAATGACATCGGCATCCTTAAAGTCAATATCGAAGTCTGTAATTGCACTCCTTCCGATAGCTACTGGAATCACACGAACGTCTTTGTCATAAATCTCTCTAATTTCTCTCTGAATTACATCCTTATTAGCCCCTGTCCTCGTGTCGGTTATCACGACTAATATCTTACGGGCGTCTTTCCTCGTGACATCAGAGCTATCAAACAATGTCTTGGCTTCTGCGAGTCCCCTACTCAGACTTGCAATCCCTGCATTAGGTGAGATACCCTCAATCAATCGTTTGAGGACGGCGTCATTCGGAATACGATCTCTTAGACGCAGTTTTACTGTTGCTATACTTCCATAGACGACTATACCATATTTGATCTCATTTGTGCCATATTTGGTAACTGCAGCTGTCATGGCGTCTCGAATGTTGTTGAAGTTGCTGGGTTGGGCATTGATGAGGAACACGAGGTCTGTCATTGGAACTTTGGGTGTATCTGGTGACGAAAGAAGCAATGAAATGAAAATTATCATCGAAAGCCAATGATGATTATGATAATTATTATTATCATTATTATCATTATCATTGTTATCATCATCATCATCATTATTATTATTCTTGTTCTTGATTGATGGATGGATGGATGGATGGATGATAAAGCACAACTGCCAAATGTAAATAACCTGTCAATTTCCAAGCTGAAGATGACTTCTCAATTACTAAAATTTATACTAACATGTCAGGTGACCGTACCCCACTTATATCGAGCAGTTGTGTCAAAATAAACATGACGAATAAAAGGGACATGTCGATATTAGTAAAAATGTGGGGTTTCACCTCTTAACAAGTGACACAGGTGAAATAACAATAAATATAAGATAGAAGCATTTTAAACCTTTAAGGACATTCGTCATAATCTTTTCAGCCAAATCTTTAGGATTATCATTTTTTCCAGCTTTAACCATAACATCCTTAAATGGAGACAGTTTCTTGATCCCATCTTCATCAGCATCACCTCCAACTGGTACAGGAATGATCTTAACCCCATCCAGTTCTAACCCCCTGGCAGCTTTCCTAACGGTCTCTGGGACATCCATAGGGAACTTATCTGTAACGACGACCACGACTTTCTTGGCCTCTGGACGAGAGGAACGCTGGAATGTCAGCATTGCTTGGTTCAACGCAGCCCCGTGATTGGGTTCTCCATTGGGACGTGTAACGCGATTCATTAGTTGGCGATAGCTTTCTTTGTTGGGGAACTCCACATCTGGACTGACTTCTACTGTTGCTCTGTCGCCGTATACAATTACCATATATCTATAAAGTAATAGAAACCATGTGAAACCATTAGGACCGTGGAGAGGCAGATTTTGATCAACTATCATCGAGAGCTTGAAATTAAAGTTAGTAAAATTACCTAACAGAAGAAAGCTTTTCCACTTTGCAGCATTATAGATGACCTTATACTAAGCGGTCACCCTCAGTAGTGGCCCCACAATGGCCGCACTATGGAGGTTGGCCGCTTTACAGAGGTCCTACTGTACATGCAAAAGCAATTGGAGGTGGCGTCGCAACATGCATTGTGCCCAGCAACGTTTTCCTCGTAATTGTGCTGTGCATCAAAAAAGTCTTTCCAATTGCAGTCAGTGTCAAAAAAGTTTTGAAAAATAGATTAAAGTAATTCGAGTAACTCGATTAAACTTGTCGCAAGGATCGCAAAAACGCCGAAAAATAAAATAAAATAAAAATTTCAAGACAAGCTGTGCACAAAGGAAGAAATCACAGTAAACAACTAATTCTTTTCAAATTCTCTTCAAAGCCATTTTCAGTGTTTTCATATATGTTGTAAGTTGAAAACCCTTCATACTTACTTCAGTTGAGATTTGCCATATTTATCGACGATTTCATTGAAAGTGTCTTTCATTAGCTTGAAGGTGGAATCGGCTCCAGATGTTGATGCGCTTATCAAGAATCCAAGGTCAATCTTGGGCACCACAAGGGAGTCTAGTGATGCAATAAAAATAAAATATCAGTTAATATTATCTAAAGTTATTAACACTGCCTCAACCAGAACCACTAGCAATTAAAGAAAAACAGCTGATAAGCAGTGTCATAAGCATCATCGTCATTGCCATATTCTTCATCATTTTCAGTTCCACTATCATTCATTTATAATTAGTATATGTAATAGGACTCCATGATGTCCAATTAAGAAATAATTGAACGAGGAAAATTCCGAGGACTGACAAAATTGAATGAAGCCGTAGGCCGAGTCCAATTTGGCAGTCAGAGGAATTTTTCGAGTCTAATTATTTCTTGATTGGGGAGCATGAAATCCCATTACCTATTAATTATATAGCTACCTAATTAATCCCATATCAACAAGACCTGTCCAATTAAGAAAATAATTGGACAGTTACCTATATGGGATTAATTAGAAGCTGTATAATTATTTTTATAATTATTTATTAATTATTTTACGAGGGTAATATAAGTAATCTTAAAGTAATCAAATGCATGATCCTTTTCACTATCCACATGTCCATCAAAAACACTAATTTATTCGCATCAGTGAGTGCAAAATGAGATATTGAGGTTAGCCCTATGGTGAATATCTCCTAGGATCGAATTGGAATTTAGGAATTGACTTTTGCGGAGGGAGGAAAGCCGGAGAACCCGTAAAACCCTCGAAGCACAGGAGAGAACCAACAAACAACTCAACTCACATACAACAACGAGCTCGTCGGGAATCGAACCCGGGTCGCATTGGTGAGAGGCGAACGCGCTCACCGCTACGCCACCCATGCTTCCCAACATCTCAGTAAATCGGTTCCGATTCCATGTATTCTTAAATGCGTAAGTATATAGGTGTCATTGTCATCACCACCTCTACCAAAACTCTCTGCAGGAACAATGACGACAACAGAAAGCACAAAAAAGAAATATCATCGAGATGGAAAAAAAGCAGCATCATTATTCACACCACCACTACCCACCTCCACCATCATCCGAACCTTCTGCATATCAATAACAAGGTTCATTCCTAATAGCATTCCTAATAAACATACCATTGACTGCTCTTTCAATGATTTTATCCGGCACTCGATCAAGAATCTGGGGCACAAGTAGGTCATCCTCATTAGGAGTCAGCGGTTCAAGCTCTTTACGATCAGCCTCGTTACCAAGGGCAACCGCAACAATACGGATACCATCTTGGATTATCATGTTAGCCGCGTCTTTGACATCTTCAACCACACTGTCAGATTTCTTGTCTACTATTACCACTAGGACTTTCTTGGCGCTAGGGCGACCTCCTTCTGATGTGGTGAATAGACTGGATGACTGCTCTAAAGCAGCTTCAAGATTAACACCTCCTGTAAATGAGTATATTTGGTACAATAAAAGTAAGGACATGTGCTGCGAAAAGAAGATCTGGGATGAAACCCATTTAATCCTCCTCCCCTCCCCTCCCCCTCCTTTTCCCCTTCCAGATGACTTAATAAGGTTGTCCGCAAAAGGCCATTTGCAACAGTCACGTGCTGATATATSACTTTGATAAGGAATCAATTCAGCCAAAGGTCTTTTGGGGAAGGTTCTGCTGGATAACAAACAAACTTTAAAATTCTTCCTTTGTATCTTGAAATTGAAATTTTCTTAAAAGGGAAAAAAGTATTTTGAAAAAGATTTTGGATATGACATTAGTAATCGAGCAAAAGTTATTTAGATTTTAAAAAATCCATTTTTTTTTTTTTTTTTTTTTTGCCAACCAGTAAGAGTCATTTGATTATTTCCTGCAAATGACCTATTCCAAAGCGCTCTTCAAGATTATTTTTATACGACCCACACAAATACCAACAATTTACGCTTTTAAAATTATATGTTTGGAATTCTTATGGATAATTGATTTTTTTCTTATATGTAATTTAGAAAACCTTACCTCTAGGCTTCGGTAAAGCTCCAATAAGTCTGATCAGTTCTTCTGTTTGGTAATTTTCTCGGAACCGTAAATGTACACTTGGTGGGTCCCCAAAGGTGACAAGACTGTATGCTATTCTGTCGGTGCCATATTTCTCCACGATTCTCTTGATGATGTCTTTCATTGAGTTAAAGTTCTTTTCGGCTGACAGAGCAGCTGCGCTGATAGCAAATACCATGTCCATCTCGGGTACCACTGGCTTGGCTGAAAAGACAAAGAATTCATGTAACCTTCGATTTCTGCAACTTACGACAAATGTATACGAAATTCCTGATTATAATTGACCTCTTTAGGTTGGGCGTAAAATTTTCCTATTTTTTGCTTGTCAATTTTTAGTACCTTTGCTTAGTATGACGGTTGGGCATGCCGAGGAATCGTATGAATATGGACGCAACCCAAACGAAAAATCTTATGCGAAAAAGAATAACAAATGGTCTGATAAAAGTGGGAAAATATTATAAAGCTGATTTTTATCATTCACGTCTGATGAAGGAGCTATGCTCTGAAAAAAACGTTAACGTTTTGTGAGCTTTTATGTTTTTCACATTTTTTCACATTTGTTCAACAGCTTATTAAGAGAAAAATAAGAAAATATTTCTACAACATATCATAAAGCTAAAAATGGCTATTGACGTGAAAACACCACTTCTCAAGCAAATCTCCACAGAAAAATAGGCGCTATGAGCCCTATAATGCAAGGAGTAACAATCGAAATTATACTCATAAAACGAAGACAATTTGTTTATTTGATTTGCTATGCCAACACTAAATGAATATCATTGGCATTAAAGGAAACATCTTCAGAGCAAACGCAGCAAAACCATGAAATAAAATCAAATAAATAAATAAATAAATAAATAAAATAAAGTTGATACTGGCAAATAGTAGCTATTTAGTTACTAGTAGTTGCTATGACAAAGACAAATACGCAAGAGAATGCTATGTGTAATAAATGTTCTGGTTAAGTGATAGCAACTATTAGTCACTAACAAGAGACCATGAGGGACAGAGATGGACTCTTCCAGTTATACCTTTGGGATATCTGAATTCCCGAAAAGTTATTTTTTAGATCTTGCGTACCCCTTAGGAACACTCTTCCTTCATGGTCTCTTGTCACTAAATAGTATTATTTGTCAGTATCAACTTTGTTTTTTTTTTCATGGTTGTACTGCATGTGCTCTACGACTGACCTTTGAATACCACTTCCATCAGGTCCTCTGCTGTTTCCTCAGGCTTGTCTCCAGGCTTGACGGTTACCAGATTCTTGCTGTACGGAGTAATAAGAAGCAACTCACGTGGGTTGGCATCCGTTCCCAAGGCAACAGGTATGACATGTATCCCAGCAGTCTCTAAGGGCTTTACTTTAGTAGTAAGTTCTTTCTCTGTGCTGTCGGAGTTCTTGTCGACGATAACAACTAGAACCTGAAAAAGGTGAAACATTGTTATGAGACTGATAGACAATTCACAAATGGTGATCTACTTTTTCTGTCATAGCCGTTCATTTTTTTGCAGTCGTGCAACTGAATCGACTTCGTGAATCGCAAGGAAAAAATAAGAATTTTGAGTGCTCAGTTAGCGAAATAAGTATATAATCATATTCTTTATTTTTTTCATTCCAAATTTTAAACACAATCTTTTGCAGCGTACGCAGACTTGCGCAGCTAGTTTATAAGAGGAATGTCCAGTGCTGGCCTAAAAGGTCCCCTGTCCCTATGGTACAGCCCGGAGTCCCCTGGGGTTCCACAGAGATATCCTTTAGCATTCCCCTGTCCCTGGCTTACCCTCTAAACTACTAGTGTGTACATTGCTCTTGCTGTACAACATGACTGCCGTGAAACCCCTCTTTTTTATCTATCTAAATTAAGTGCTCTTACTTTCTTAGCATCAGATCTTGTACTATCTTCAAATGCTTTCTTTGCCTCTTCGAGAGCTTTGTCAAGAGCTGCTCCACTACGTCTTCTCAAGGAATCAACGAAAGCTTTCAAAGAGCTTTCACTACTGAAATATTCCGTTAGACCACTGTCGGTAACTGGCTGAGATCCAAAGGTAATCAAGCCGTAGTTGATCTTCGTCATGCCGTAATTATCAATGACGCTCTTAATGATGTTTTTCATCTGGATGTAGTTTGCTGGAGAACTAGATGCAGTGGAGCTGATGGCAAATATGAGATCGACTTCTGGGATGATCGGGTTATCTGAGGAAGAAAAAGCTACAAAATTAAATATCTTATGTCATTTAATTTAATCCCTGTTCCTAAGACGTCCGCATGTCTAAAATACCTTTTGTATAAATTCAGATATCACAAGGACAGCGCGAGCCAGAGGCCCTTTCTGTCCCTTCTGCCGGTCTCTTGATACCCCCATCACTTACCTTCAATAACTTTGTCGATGATTTTGTCGCCCAAAGATTTCGGAGTATCCTCTGTTTCCTTCTCGATGACATTGAGTTTGTTAGGGACTATCTTGTTCATCTCTTTCTCGTCAGCACTGGGAGGCACAATAACTGATATGACTTTAATGGGAACTTTCTCCAAAGGCATCACAGAATTCCTCAACTCTTCCATAGTGTTAACTGATCTATCATCCATTATTACCACTAAGAATCTCTTAGCATCAGGTCTAGGTGGGGAAGCATTTTCGAACATGTTAACAGACATGTCTAGTGCTTTCTTTAAATCAGGTGTACCACGTGGCTGTTGTATTTGATCAAGATAAACCTTAAGGGCAGGAATGTTGGCAAATCTTTCACTAAAGCTGAGAGCAATTGAAGGTGTGCTGCCGAAGACGATGACGCCATAGCGTAGCTTGACACGGCCGTATGTATCTACGACGTACTTGATGGTGTCCTTCATCAAGGAGAAGGTTTTAGCTGAGTTCAAGGCGTTAGTGCTAATGGCAAATCCAAGGTCTACCTCTGGTAATATTTTAGAATCTGGAAATAATATTTTTATAAGAAACGTGTCTTAAATTAGTAGGAAGAAGGGATTGGTTATATAATCAAAATAATAGATAAATACTGCTATTTTGAATGACCATAGGCCTGGACATCGAGGAAAAGATGCCATGATAGGGTTTGGTGCGCGTTAGGACCTTTTTATCATGTACTGATTTAGAAAAAAAACTTCTGGAACTCCCTGGGCTTTGATTACATATTACATTATTTATTATCTGTATCTCTGTTTCGAAAAATCTTGGATTCAACATTTATATCTTAGGCATTTTGTTCAAAGATACTTGTAAAGCCCCAATGAATTTATAAACATTGTTAATGTTTGAGGTGCACAGTATTCAATTTACAAAATTCGTAAAATAATTTTTTATTCTAAGACTTGCATAAGACATGAATAAATGAATTTGCAATCAACAATTACAGCGGTATCTCTGGAATGCCTCTAGTGTGCTTTGCATTTATACAAGTACTTTACCCTCTATTATTCTCGCAATGATTTCTTCAGCCGTCTTGTCAGGTTTGTCGGAGGTCTTGGGTTTAACCACGTCTTTCTTCACAGCAGCTATTTTTTCAAGTTTCTTGGGATCAACGCTGTTTCCAATACCAACTGTAATTATTCTAATCCCTTGTTTTTCCAAAGGTTTCACGGCGGCTTTTATCTAAAAACAAAAATGGGAGAGCACTATTTTTTTACTTTTAATATTAATATGCACCTGTTTCGAGAAAAAAATGAAGCACAAAAGAGAACCAACAATCAGCTCTACTTATGTAGACAAATAAACCCCAAAATGCCTTATTTTCCGCCATTAAAAAAGAAATTATTTTTAAAATTTGTCTAAAAAAAATGCAATTGAAAAAAATATATATCTGAGGTCAAGCGCGGAAAATAAACCATTGTGGGATTTATTAAAAGGGTACATACGACATTTTATTCGGGAATCGATGTCGGGTGGCAATGGGAAGAAGTTAGCGGTCACCGCGAGCTCTCTGCTAAGCCACCCGTCTTCTCATTATTTTAACGTTTACTCAAATTACCTCTTCTTCGGTATTGTCAGCGTCTTTATCTGTTACTAACACCAAAATGGAATTAGCGTCGGTTCTTGCACCAGCAGCAGAGGTAAATAGATCCTGCACTGCTTTTAAAGCTCCATCAAGATTAGACTGCCCGGTGGGTTTGGGGACAGAGTCAATGACCTTCTTGAGCCTGTCATTGCTTGGGAACCTATGGAGAGAATAGATCACAATATATCGACATATATTGTTTGCAATAGTTTTAACTTACAATAAAATACAAAGCATTTTATGTAAGTTAACAAGAATGAAAAACAAACAAACAATTTTTTTGCTGTCATATTTGTTAATTTGGAAAATATATCAATAATTTCCCCAAGGTTCAATATTTGGGCCACTTCGCTAATATGCGAAGCTGAAAGTAAGAAGAAAAACAACCAAACAAAATATGTTATTTTAGGATTATCTATGGTTTCCCCCAGAGTTCAATAATTGGGGCACTTCGCTGATATGCGAACCTGATCAAATTACAGAGGGATCAGTATTTGTACAAACGGAATTAGAAGTCCTATTGTAAAACTAACGGACAGATAATTTACCTATCTCTAAATCGCCATCTCACAGAAGGTCGAGTACCAAAGGTCATTAAGCTGTACTTGACCCTATCTTGACCAACAGAATCGATGATGCTTTTTAGAATATCCTTCATCTGTTCAAACTTTTGGTATGACTCGCCAGCAGTTGCACTAATAGCAATGGCAAGGTCAGTCATTGGAATGTTAGGATTGTCTAGAGAGAGTAAATAGAAAATAATTCAAAATTCAAAAAAATATACCAACGACTTTAAAAGCACAAAAAAGTTTACGTATTTCCGTAAAAAACAAATATCGAAAATAAAATGGCCACAACAGCAAAAACGACCTTAAAAAACAAACAAGTAAACAGAAAAACCAGCAGCAAAATCACCGCCAAAAGCGCCATACGCCAGTCATCGACAACAACAAATTAAAGCATCATTACCACTAGCAGCGATAAAATAAGTAGAAAAAACCTATCCACAAAAATTACTTTCGAAGAATTTATCCATGACTTTCTTGGCAATCTTGTCAGAGTCCTCATCATCAGTTGTGTTAACCATATTTTTCTTATTCCCAGTTGTCTTCTCCAGCTCATTCGGATTCGACTCGCTTCCAAATGCTACGGGGATGACCTGGACACCCGCGTTCTCCAGTCCTTTCGCAGCCATTACGATATCATTTTCAGATTTTCCTGATCGATTGTCAGCGATCACAACTAATACTTTTCTGGCATTAGGACGGGAGTTGTCGAAAAGGTTTTTAGCGCTTGACAGGGCTCCATCCAAATTCGACCCACTAAGCTTTCGAATGCTGGTTACGAGGTTAAGGAGGCTTTCGTCTGTCGAGAAGGACTCGCCAAAACGTATCTATATGAAAATGGTAAATAATAATATGGAAAATCTCGTGCATTCTCAAGACTAGTTTTCGTGGAAGTTCTTTTTTTAATTGATTATGCCTATATGTAGCTGTAAGCAGCGAAAGTTAGATTACAACGGCTCAATAACACGTTTGTTACACAATCTAATTGATTCCCTAAAAAAAAAACAAGGTCTTTTTTCGTCTGGAAAGAGGCTACCGAATGCTAAAACAAAGGGAATTATCTTAATTCCTATTAACTATTTCTTAATGGACTACTTCAACGATACGGCGGCCATCTTGCTAAACAAGACAAAGATGACAAAAAATATATAGAGTTTCGTGTGTTTTTTTTTTCTTTCTCTTATGGGTAAAGGTGATCAATGTACCGTCTTAATTCATCTTTTGCTGTATTCTCTTGCGGTGAGCTGTTAATATCAATCAACCTTATTACTGTAACAAATTTAATTTGCCCCCTGGAAGCCCCATAATTCATTGTAACCCAAGATGGCCGCCGTATCGTCGAAGAAGTCCATTGTCTCCCATATTCTGCCACTACAGACCGAATTTGCTGCTATCTAGGTATTAATTATCACCTACCTCAATATTGGGCACTGTTCCATGGACAATGATGCTATAATGGATTCGCCCTTGGCCGTATTTATTAATGATATTCTTAATAACATCCTTCATTTTCATGAAATTCCTATCAGACTGGACGGCTGTTGCACTGATGACAAACGCAAGGTCCGTCTCCGGAACAGAAGGGAAATCTATATGACAAATGAAAACAATMATCTGCCAGGCCGTATGGTAAGATTTGATGTCTAAAGGCCCTAAAAAACGCGGTCCCACCATTTGACACAACATTTAGTTAGCTTAACTGGGACTAATCTTGGTACCGTATATCGTGGTTGTGTTAAAATTGTAGCTAAAAAACTGTTGGCTAAATGTTGGGACTGATGTTTTTACTTTGCCCATAAAAGAAGAGTCGACGTAATACATTCAATTGTTTTCTTTTGCTTTAGTTTCACTGTTAGCCACTAATTATACAACATTGTTGCATGGCCCAAATAAAATCACTTTATGGCTGGTCCAAAATGTTGGATCAACATATTGGATCAAAATGTTGGATCAAAATGTTGGATCAACATATTGGATCAAAATGTTGGTTCAAAATGTTGGATCAACATATTGGATCAACACATTGGATCAAAATGTTGGTTCAAAATGTTGGATCAACATATTGGATCAAAATGTTGGCTAAAATGTTGGATCAATGATGGATTAAATGCTATAAAATATTATAATTAACATAGAGTTTTTTTTTGCATTCTATAGAATAAGTCATTGATTTTTTTTACTAAGATAGCATTCTGAAAGGAGAAGCTAAGGAAATGAATGCTCTACGATCGAATATGACAGGCATTCCTAAGAGTTTCTTTATATAAAGAGTGCGTATTTACCTTCTATAACTTTGCCCATAATTTTGTCACCTAGTGTTTTTGGGTCTTCGTTGTCACCTGCCTTGATCAGATTACGCTTGTTTGTTGTGGCGATGGTGAGCTCTTTTGGGTCTGACTCGGATCCCAAGGCAACTGGTATGACACGAATGCTCTTTTCTTCAAGAAGACGTGCCTTTATCTGGGGAAAAAATACTCAAGTTGAAATATGAAATGATGTATTTTTTACCCATTCAAGCATCTTTGTCTTCTTCTCCAGCCACTCATCTGTCCTTCACTTGATCTTTCTTCTTCTTGCTTTCGCCCAACGATATCTCCAACGATACTATTCATCCGTTCTTCTTTTCCACCTCCTTCCCTACATCACTCCCTTCTTCCTCCTTTCCTCCCCACATCAACCTATCCATACACCAACCTGCCCATTTATTAACCACTGAATACATCCTTTCCTTCCATCCACATTCAATAAATCATCCCTTCCATCCATCCCCTCATCCACCAAAATATTTTCATTCACATACGAACCCTAACATTTATCTACAAATGTATTTATTCACCCATCCACCCATCCACCCACCCATCCATCCATCCATTATAACCCATGACCACTGTCCATTCATCTACCCATGTACTCATTCACCCATTCACACACCATGCATCCGTCCATCCATGTATTAATTCCGCCTATAACCATTCATACAACATACCTTGACATCGTTCTGACCGCTATCAGATCTCTTATCAGCAATCACAACAAGCACCAGTTTAGCAGTAGATCTTGGGTTCATGAACATCGTCGTTGCTTCTTGTAAAGCCATATCAAGGTTAGCCCTTCTGCCCGTCATAGAGACCGCATCAAGTGACCTACTCAGTTCTTCCACTGATATTGGACGGCTTCTAAAAGGGATATTTATTGTAGGTCTATCACCATAGACCATCAAACTATACCGTATCTTACTTGTGCCGTAATTTTCAGCAATTCTTTTGATGGTGTCTTTCATTGTTTCAAAGTTGTTAGCAGATTTGACAGCAGTGGCACTGATGGCAAAACCAAGGTCGAGCTCTGGAACGCGCTTTTTCTCTGTAGAAAAGAAAACAACGGGTATACTTTTTTGAGTTATTATTTTTTTCGCACGATTGCACGAAAGAAAGGAAAAAACGAAGGAACCAAGGAAGAAAAGAAGGAAGAAAGGAAGAAAGGAAGAAAGGAAGAAAGGAAGAAAGGAAGGAACGAAGAACCTGAACGAAAGAACAAACGAAAGAACAAACAGACGAAGGAAGGAAGGAATGAAGAAAGCAAGCAAGCAAGCAAGCACTGGGCCCGATTGTACGAAGCCTGGATAGTACTATCCGGCGGATAAATCCTTATTCAGGGGATGGGTCGATGCTGTTTTCCAATAAATTTATCCACTGGATAAGATTTATTCTTCGGATAGCGCTATCCAGGCTACGTGAAACCGGGCCCTGGTTCACATAAACCTAAGATGTTTTTCTTACGATTGCCAATCTTATTCATGATCTCAGTCAAGATGTCTTTTGGTTTTTCTTTTTCATCGACTTCAATCAAGTATTCTTCATATGGTGTGGTGTCTTTTAGTCCAGTTGGATCAGATTCTCTTCCATATGCTACTGGTATAACAATGTATCCTTCTTCATCCAGAAGTTTGCTGTGTTTCTTTAGTTCCTCTGGATCACTAGTGGATTTCTTGTCCATAACAATAACTATGACCTATAGGCAAGGCAAAATGTATTTTAAAGAAGAGCATGGGATGATGGTGATTCACTGAGTCAATGTCACCGAAACGAAAGCCGAGGGAAACTTTGTCGAAGTCCCGACGCCGTAGTCTAAAATCTCCTGATGATTATCAATTAAATATGTCCTTCTGGAAACGATGGATCGTGATATCCTTATATTAAACATTATTTTTTGCACTGGATTCGTTAGGTTTTTCGTGAATCAATATGGGCTTTTGARTGCATTTTGCAATGGCCCCAAACGAACGAGTATTACCAACCTTCTTGACACCTGGTCTACCATTTCTATTAAATTCATTTCTCGCCAGTTCGAGAGACTTATCGAGAGCTGTACCACTAGCTCTTGGAATGTTCTCAACAAACTTCTTAAAATCATCATCAGAGGGGAATTTTGATGTAAATTCCAACTTCAGTGCGGGTGTGTTGCCAAATACAATAACGCTGTAGTGCAGACGATCACCGCCGTATCTGTCGATGGCAGCTTTCACGATGCCTTTCATCGTCTCGAAGTTGGTGATTGCATCAATTGCAGTGGCACTCATTACAAAACTGATATCCATTTCTGGGATCGTTTCAATAGCTTAAAAAAAGGTAAAACACACAGAGGTCAGTGAAAAGGTAATCAGGAATTTCAATTAAAATGTGATTGGAGCGATCTGAATTCACGTGATTGGAGCGAAAGACCCTCAGAAGCGCGAAAGGGGCGCAACTGCTCAAATAAAGCACTACAAAGGTACCCACTTGTCAAGACGTCTCCTTACCGCGAATTTATTTTTTTTATTTTTTTAAGGTTCAAAGCGGAACAAGCTTTATATCGGGCTGTAATCATGACATAACAATGAAGGCCATTGCCGTGATTTATCTTTTGGCACACCTAGAGACTCATAGCAAATATTCTATTAAATTTAATTCAAGATGGCGGGCTATGCAACCAAAAATAGTCCTTTTGTAAAACAAGTGTAAGGGTCTTTAGGGATGTCACTGAATTGGCGCAATGTGTCTTGAACGGAACTTCAATTGTACAGCAAAGCTTTCGGGGGCAAAATTAACGTCCAAATAATGCTTTTCTCATCTATCTATATCTTACGTTTCAATATTTTGTCCATGATTTTCTGGCCAAGACTGTTAGCCTTTTCATCTCTAGGTACTTTCAGCATATTCTCTTTGTTTCCAGTTATCTTTTCTAGTTCTGTTGGGTCGGCGTCAGTTCCTACAGCGACTGGTATTACCCGAACATCGATCTTCTCCAAGATTTTGGTATTAGTCTTGATTTCGTCAGGAGTGTTGGATGATTTTTTGTCTACTATTACTACTAATACCTAGAAGGGAAAAAAAAAAAACAAGTGTGAGCTTGAGATACCTTATTTTATGCTAATTCTACTGGTGCCCTGATCAGTACTTATAATCACACATACAAATTAACTAATATTACTAATGTCGGTTTTAGTAATTGCGGTCATGTTAACGATGGCAAAATATTCTTGCATTTTTTACTTCTGCGTATAGCTAAACATTTTTTGACAGCCATTATATGGGGCAGAAACTATGCAACGTTTTTTGATCATTGAGATTTCAACTTCTAGGTGTGAAGCTTGTATTTAAAACTTCTGTTTTGACGTACTGTCTTTTTGTACCGAAAAATACCTGCTGACTCTGACTGAGTTTTCCATAGCGATATAATGCCTAATTTTTGTAACATAATTTTACCTTTCTGGAGTTAGGTCTGGCTGGAGCAAACTCGAAAAGTTTTTTGGCTTCCGCCAAAGCTTCGTTCAGGTTCGGTGTTCCGGAAGAGCGTGGTAAGGACACTACACGTCGTTTCAAATAGTTGGGGTCAGGAAAGGCTTGACCAAAGTCAATATGTGTTGTGGGAGACGAGCCGAATGCGATAACTGCATAACGGAGACGAGTTGTTCCATATTTGTTGACGATGTATCCAATAGCGTCTTTCATTAGTGCGTAGGTCTCGTCAGAATCGAGGGCGTCGGCGCTGATGGCGAACCCGAGGTCTATGGCTGGCATTGCTGCTTTTTCTGATATACATAAAAAAAGATTGAGAACAGTCAAAAAATAATAATAAATAAATTAAAATAAATTTTWAAAAAAATCCCTTAGCTTCGAATTTTTCCTTATTCTTCGTAATTCCTCGAGGTTAATTAGCATGAAATGTGACTAACGTTCAGTGCTATAGTATGCAAATGAGCAAAATCACCGGAAGTGACCCAGAATTGTACGCGATGATCATCTAAGATGGCTATCACTGTCATATCGTTAAGATTGACGACAAGCTCCTTATAGTGAAAATCATCCAAAATGGCTGCCACTTTTATTTCCTTATTGTTAACACATATCATACAGCATATCTATTAAATTTTCCAAAACACGACATAGATTAGCAAAGCAGAACAATAAACTCCTTACCGTTCAGCACCCTATCCATAATCTTCTTTGCAGTTTTCTTCGCTCCATCGCCATCATTAGTTGGTAATACATCTTCTTTGATTGGAGTCACATGACCCAATTCATTAGGGTCCCCAGCATTACCAAACGCAACAGGAATGACTCGTATTCCTTCCTCCTCTAAGGATTTACCAGCAGCCTTCAATTCTTCCACAGTATTGTCCGACCTCTTATCAACTACGACTACAAGAACTTTCCTTGCTTGTGGCCTAGCTGCATTCATAAGGTTCCGTGATTCTCTTAGAGCTCGTTCAAGGTCAACACCACCGTCAATCTTCGGTATGATCTGGATTGCTCGCTTGAGGTCAGCATCTGTGGGGTACTTAGTGCCAAACCTAAGCTGTACAGTGGGTTTGTCACCGAATGTTAGAACAGCGTAGCGGAATTTATAAGTGCCATACTCGTCGATGATTTCGTTGATGATATTTTTCATTTCTTGGAAATTTCTGGTGGATCTGAGGGAGGCAGCGCCAAGGGCGAATACTAGATCAATGTCTGGGAGTTTTTGTCGGCCTGTAAAAGTAAAAATTTGCAATTAAATTCAAAAACTCTTTTTTTTTTAATTTCTTGCAAATCTCAAAAATGTCTATGTTATAAACGTAAATACGTATATGTATATTTTTTAAATGAAAGGTATTTTTTCAAGATCTGAGTTTTCATGCATGCATTTTGTTGATGCACCCTCTAGCGTAATTCTTCAGTTTAATTCGCAATTTTCTTTAAAGAAAAATCTTATGAATTTAAATTCCAAGCAAATTTTGTAACGCTTTGAACTACCATAGAAAAATACATGTACATGTTACCAATCATGCGAGAGAGATTACTTCTCATCCAATCAAAATTTTGGACTGCACGGTCGAGCACGGCAAGGTGACACTAAAGAATAACGTTTGCGCATGTGTGCCTTCCAGCACGTTTTCTAAGAATCGGCACGATACTGCCGTACTTCAGCTTTATAAGAAATCTGTTCTATCGCTGAATATTCTTGAAAATTCTCTGGTGGGATGGGAGACATGTTACGCTATATTGATTGACTTGAATAAAACAGTTAATCTTGGGTGCTTATTCTTAGTCAACTAACAAGGTGACCAGGTCTTTGGTCCCTTTATTCTCACGAGAAGGGATACATGCCACCAACACTTACGTGTAAGTGCCTTGTCCAGAATGGTCTCAGCGACAACAGAAGGACTCACAGTCTTGTTAGCTTTTATAACATTGTCCTTCCATGGTGTTATTTTACTCAACTCGTCCGCATCAGACGATGAACCGAGAGCTACAGGTACCACTATTATCCCAGCATCCTCCACTGACTTGGCTTTAGAATGCAATTCATCTGGGCCGCTCGTAGACTGATGATAACAACAAAGTAGGTTAATATTGTGTATGTGACGCTGTAACTTAGTTATTCTTACAACATAACGATTTGAAGAAAGTTTGGTCGAAGGGTGCCCAAGTGAGATAAAAGTGAAGAGAGAAAATAAAATAGGAAAAAAATCGACTTAAAAAAAATTGAATTCGATTTCAAGATACGGTGCTTCTTAACACAAACGAGTAAAAAAATCGATTAAAAATAGATAACTTTTTTTTTCGCGCGCGTTTGTTGTCCTTGTTTATGCGTTATTTAGCAGACGTTATCTTAGCCTCAAAATAAGGGAATGAATTTAAATACAATTTTGATTTATTAAGCTCTCCCTCTACAATCTATAGTGGGCTCCCTTTGRTTATAACGAAAGCAAATTCAACGCAAAAATCGGCCAATGTTTTCATTAAATTGTCACTTTTCCAGAATGGAAAATTTGACATACCTTTTTATCCATAATGACAGCGAGGACTTTCAGTGCATCTGGTCTGGCTTCTCTTTCATACAGGTCTTTAGCTACCTCCATTGCTTTGTCAAGAGCCCCACCACGTGAACGTGGCACCATCTCCAAATGGTTGCGTAATGCTTTGTTACTGGCAAACACTGAACTAAATCTATTGCAAAACAAGCAGAGCAGCACTAATTGGCACTTTTCTCGAGATCTTTCCGAGTTAATTCAAACGATTAGTAATAAGTGCTGTAACCTTTGCTTTTCTGAACAAATTGACGCAATCTTTGTCATAATTTAATAATATTAATGCGAATTAGCCTGCAAAGATCTCGAGCTAGGACCTGATGTTTACTGACTTTCCAAGTAATTCTGACTTCCTTTACTTAATTCAACTTTAATCAGTTTGATTACCAATCTTATGACAAAAACGTTTCTTTGGGACGCCATTTTACCTTGAATAATATTCCCCGAAAGATTCATCTTGCAGAGCCCATCCCCAAGAGACCATGAACTGAATTAATTTGTTATCAAGCTGATTGTTAGATGATGTAAAAGTCCTAGTTAACGCTTCCAAAACCCAACCCTCTACAATCATGTGCAACCCATATTTGAAATAAAGAGATCAATGAAATATTTTCTTACCTTAGTTTAATGGCAGGATTGTCTCCAAACACTATCAAACTGTACCGAATTTTTCCTGTGCCATATTTGGTAATCATCCGTTTGATGATGTCTTTCATCTGTTGAAAGTTTTCATCGGCATCGACGGCAGTAGCACTGATGACAAAGCCCAAGTCGATCGCTGGTATGTCTCTTTTGTCTAGCAATATAATGTGCTTCATTAGAGGTTACTAAAAGACCTCGTCAAGCAGTTCACAAGAAAAGTAATGTTCTGATCAGTATAGACAATAAAAAGAATGTAGGGCAATGAAGAAAGGAAGAAAGAACACAATAATCGATATCAAAATAAAATTAACATAGACATAAAAATAGGAGTAAGAGTAGAAAAAAATCATACAAGTCCGCATCTTTCCGCATCTSAGATAAGCCAAACTGGGTCGAGGTAACATTTCAAGGTGCATTGACTGTTTTAGAAGACATAATTCCAAGATGGCATCTATTTGATCCTCCAAAACAGTCTCAAAATGCACTGCAATGCCAATTGCCCTATTTCAATATGACGTCACATCAAAACAATCTATTGTTTAAACGCAAAGGATYATGTTCGTTGGAGGGAGTCAAATCAACGCAAATTCACCGAAAATTGTTCTAAAACCCGTATCAATCCACGAAGAGAAGTAGAATAGCCAGCAAACGCTCAGAATATTTTTCAGTACATATTAACACATATTATATCTAAAAACCAGGCCATTTTAGATTAAACTGTTTCGCTAGGAGCAAATTGTGTTGGATTTTCTATTGGGTTTGACGATTCTATCCCCCACATAAACAAGCAGTGACGTCATAGTGAAATAGGGCAATTATACCCAGTTTTCCCCAAACCTCGGAATGGCTTATTTGTATAATATAAAGCATCGGTTAACCCATCAATGGGAGTTCCGTGCMCCTTTTCCACAAAGAATTTACATAAATGAAATAGAAAAGTGAGAAGGATAAGGTAGTTTTTTCTTTCGTTTATAACCCCACAACGAATCATTAAAATATTGTTGTTACATCTTACCGGTAAAAACTTTCTTCATGATTCTTTTTGCAAGGTCTGTTGGTTTTTCAGTCTGGTTGGTTTTAAGGATTACCGTTATTGTTAGAAGAATGGGCTCTAATTCATCTGTGTCAGCGTCCTCTCCCACCACAACAGGAATCACCTTATATACAAAGAAATTGAATTGATAAAACAATATCAAAACTACCAAATAATACTCAGACAGTGAGATGTTATAGGGTTTGATTAGAAGAACAGTCACGTGACTGCAGTGAATGTAGGTGAATAGCGGAAAATTTGATTATTTAATTAATTAATATAAAAACTTTCATTTGAGTTACATAAAGCCAACTCTATAAACCAAATTCAAAACTCGCACCGATGTGAGGCTTAAGTTGTGAACAAAGGGATCTGGCGTGACTCAAAGTAATCTGGCGTGATTCAAAAGTCACGAATCACGCCAGATTCCTTTGTTCACAACTTAAGCCTCACATCGGTGCGAGTTTTGAATTTGGTTTATGGGATAAAAGTGCGGCTGGCACATGTATTTGTACACGTGTATTTGGGTGGCCTGAGGCAGGTAAGACGAAACAAATTCCCGGTCGAGACTGGTTTGAGTACTTTAGTTGCAGTGGTGATTAGCGATAACAAGTTTTTATCATAATTCATGGGAACTTTTCATAAGCTAATTTCATAACTGAAGATTATATATCAGCACGTGACTATAGGCCGGCTTATTACAGTGGTATTTGCATTTGAGGCCAATAAAAACCCACCTTAATCTTATAGTCATGTAAAGGCTTAGCAGCAGCTTTGATATCTTCAGGCCTGTTACTGGATTTATTATCGACAATCACCACGAGTACTTTCTTGGCATTTGGTCTAGGCGGAGCACTCTCAAACAGCCGCTTGGAGTCTTCCAACGCCTTAATCAAGTCAGGTTCACCATCGACCCGTCGCATAAGGTCAAGGTAATTTTTGAATGCCTCTTTAGTTGGATAGGTTTCGCTGAATGAAAGGCTTGTAGATGTAGTAGCACCGAATACTATGATACCGTAGCGAATCTTTTCAGTTCCATACATGTCAATCACTGCTTTGACCATCTCACGCATGCGCCTGAAGGTGGAGTCAGCTGACGCAGCAGTAGTGCTGATTGCAAAAGCAAGATCTACTTCAGGAATCCTGGCCGTATCTGAAAATAGAATACAAGAGAAAATATCATAGTAAGATGAAGAGAATATAGTTTATTAACATTGACCCCTCCCGACCCCAAATGGTCGGTGAAGACGACCTTCCGCAGTTGCGCACTTCAACACTAAGGATTGGAGAGAATTTCTTAAGAGTTGAAGGTATCTTTTGAGACAATCATGGGCTTAAAAACATTGTTTATCTACGTTAGATGCTCACACACAGTACCGTCTTGGCCACGGCACGGCATGGGCACACCCTAACACAAGTCACATTTCCAATGCTGGAATTGAACAATGTCAGGCTTACCATTTAAAGCTTTGTCCATTATTTTATCTGCTATCTTTTTGGGTCCGTCGGTTTCCTTTGTAGGTATTACATCAGGCGTTGTTATCCCCAGGTCACCGGGGCTCGACTCACGGCCAAGAGCGACCGCGATGACCCGGATACCATCTTCTTCAAGCAGCTTAGCAGCCTCGCGCACGTTACTTTCAGTGCTTCCAGAGCGCTTATCGGTGATCACGACGAGTACTTTATTAGCATTAGGACGAGCGCCAACAGCTGGATCGAAGAAATCACGTGATTCCTGGTATTTAAGAAGGAAAAAATATATAAATGATATCAAGAGAATGAATCGTAGTTATGAGTAAACATAGGGCCTTATGCTCAGTTAAATCTACTGCATATTCCATATTTAATGGTTATGCTAAGCATAGCCCCAGAAAACATACCGAAATTAATCAAACGCGTAGCAATCAAAGAAAAGAAAACAAGGGTATCGTCTTTATAACACCATGCTAAATGGATCAAAACTATTTACCTCTAGAGCTCGGTCTAATGAAGAGCTATCAGGATTTCTGGGTACATTAGAAATGAGGCTCTTTAACTGCCGGTTTCCAGGGAATTTATTACTAAACTTCAATGCGACAAGAGGCCTGTCGCCAAAGGTGACGAGACTGTAATGGATCTTGTTTGATCCGTATTCATCGATAATGGCATTGATGATATCTTGCATCTTTCTGAAGTTTGAGCTGGCGCTGACTGCTGTTGCGCTGATGGCAAAGGCCATGTCTGTTTCAGGCAGTTTCTTTCTCTCTGTTTTACGAAAAGATAAAATGAAATGTATATCAATGTATAAAGAATGAATGACTGGACGAACAACCAAACGTACGTACGTAGGAACGAACGAACGAACGAACGAACGAACGAACGGACGAACG